GAGAGAGAGAGAGAGAGAGAGAGAGAGAGAGAGAGAGAGAGAGAGACTTTCTTTGTAATAAATTGTTTAGAATCATCTAATGACTCATGAGGCACCATGCTTAGTGGAAATAAACCGTAAAATGTTGGCAGTTTGAGAGAGGTAGTCTTGGATTCCAGAGTGACATCACTATTGTTTTACTTACAATGATCAATTCTGGACATAAATGATCAAGGTTTGTTTTGTATTATGTATTTGTATTTGTACCAGATCCTTGGTCCAGACCTCCTGCTGAGCTGGTGGGTTCCCATGGAGTGCTTTCTCTAATTCAGGCCACTCTGTCTTCCATGCTCAGGGCTGAAGTACTGTTCCTTCTAGTCTTAGTTAGCTGCCTCATTGCACTCACCCTCCCGCTCTTCTTTCCCAGGATTTCCTTCCTCTCCTAAGGTTTGGGTCTGTCTTGTCACCCTTGTGTGTCTAGTACAATGTAGTGTTAAAATTAGTAAATGTTTGGAATCATGTGATCAATGGATGCTGTGCTTTAACAACCAAAGCATTCATAGTCAACCATTTGCCACATTCCATCTTCACTTATTTAAACTTCCCCACAACCAGATGTTTAAACTTCAGTGCCCTTTTTAAAGATAAGACAAAGTAATAAAGAAATCTGATTGGCTCGTCATTGTGCAGCTGGCAAGGAGCCAGTATGCTGACCTAGTTTGCCTGGCTCCTGATTCTGTACCATGTCGACCTGAATTGCATGAACTACTACACTTGTGGCATCTAGAACACTTTCAAGTGGAACTAAATTCAAACTAAAAATCATGACCAGTTTCACTTATAGTAATTTAATGTGCAATCAATTTATCTGAAATGTTTATATTTTAGAACTATCTTTGCTTTTGAACTGAAGCTGTTAAAAGCTATGTAGTCAATTCCTTTGACCAACTCACCTCGTTTCTCCTAAGTATTACTGCAGTCTTAACTAAGTTCTCTAGATTTTCCTCTTCAAGTTTATTCTTCTGTTTTATAAGAGCTTTGTTACAGTAGTTAAAGAGGCAACATCTGTTCCAGATTGCTGCCACAAACCATGTAGACCAAGAGGGGAAATTTTCAAGATCTTGTAGCCTCTGTGAAGAAAGCTGTTCATTTGACAGAACTTTAACTCACCCTGCTTACACGAGAGTTAAGGCTTTGTTGATGTACTTTCCTTCCACAAGGCTCTGTGCTTACTGGGCATCAGTGTATTTAGAGCTACTCATCCAGCTTCTCCAGAAATAGGATTAAGGAAGGGAACAGTGTAGTTTTGTGAAACCTTATTTTTGTTAGCATCGTCACCAGCAGGAAACCCAAGCACACAGCAGTGGTTGAGCACTAGCTTCTTTCTGGACCCTGAGGACTGCATGGATGCACGAACACTCTAGCTCTCCCTTAGTCTTCACAGTGTCTTGTGAGGTGCAGCTTTGCAAGTAGAAGAGACTGGGTGGAGGAGCCCAGGGTTCTTGTAAAAGAGCTTCAAGGTTGAGAGGAACTACAGTTGAACTGATGCTTGCCTACTTGCAGTTCCTGCACTTCGACTTTTTAAGAAATTGTTTTTTAGCCGGGCGGTGGTGGCGCACGCCTTTAATCCCAGCACTCGGGAG